GTTTGATCATGAAAGCTTCTCGTAATGAAATGTTGCTGTTTCTCTTTTGCATCTCTCTCCATTTGATAGTAGCCTCGAGGAAGGGTCAGGACGAGAGGGGAGGAAGAGCAACGTGAAGGCATCCGCGCAGGCGGAGAACATTGCGACAGCTTCTGCGTGGATAGATTTGGAAGCAAGTCGCTCTGACTTCAGAATGAGCGGCTTAGAGAGTGGTTCTCTTGTTTATTTGTTTTCTTGACTTTTCTGATTCCTCAAAAGGACAGAACATTCAGGATATTTATTCTTCCTCAGTTGGTTTTTTTCCAAGCATTCTCTAAGCAGTTCAGATTCTTTGTGTGAGGAATCGCCTTGCTGCTGGGCTGTTCGGGCGGCTCTGTGTAGTACCTGGAGGTCAGGTCACCGAAACTAGTAATTTCCAAAATATTTCTTCCAAGGATGATGGGATCAGAGATTTCCTTTTTGATTTAAGTAAATCCACACGTCCTCCACCAAGAGGTTAACTTTAATTTATGACTCTGACTTCTCTAGTATGAATACACCCATGCCCTTCTTCTCTCCATAGAACTTTCAGGATGCCCTCACTGCATGCCTCTTTCCTCCAGGACAGGGGGCAGAGCGGGGTTACACTAGAAGGGTACAGAGCCGGGCAAATCTCGGATGGAACTGGGCTGCTTCGCTTTCTAGCAGTGCCTCTTTGGGAAAGTTTCCTAAACTCTTATATCTTCGTTTCCTCAGTTGTAAATTGGAGATTAAATAATACCTATTCTGAGCTCCACTCAACCTAAGCAAAACAGATATATCCATTCATGTACAGAATCTTCTAGAAAATAGAAAAAGAGACAACCATCCACCCAACTTGTTATATGAAGCTAGTGTAACTTTGCTTTAAAAATCAACAAAGGTAGCAAAAGAAAACTATAAGCCACTCTTACTTATGAAGATAGACGAACAATCCCAAACAAAATGTCAAATTAAAACCAATGACATTCTTAAAAAAACAAACAAACATCAATCCAGGGAATATAGGATGGTTTTGAAACAATAGAAAAAAATTTGGATACATCTAATCGACTCCATTCCTTCCTGAAAACCCAGTAAAATGAGAGTAAACAAATAAAATATATACCCACAAGGACAAAAAAGGGGAGAGAGAAGACCTCTGTGGACAAGAGAGATCTGTGTTTTCCAGAAGGTGAAACTGATCAAGGAAGGGCATTGACAGTAAAATAGAGGAAGTGAAAATCAAAACAGCTTTGGAGGAAATTGTCAACGAGAAATAGCAGGTTCGTGCCACAGAATTCCTGAAAGGCTCAGGAGTGTAGTCACCAGCTTCTTGGAAGGTGGAGAAAGGGAGAAATGGAATGGAGAAAAAAAAAAAAAAACCAAAACTGTGGTTGAAAGCCTGTGAATGGGGAAGCCCACCCTCTAACTTCCCTTCCCTGTCCCAGTGGGAGAACAGGGGCTTATTTTTCTGGAGTCCTTAAACCACAGGAACTCCAGACTCCAGTTCACCAATGGAGAACCGAGACGTGGCCATTTCCTGCGGGGAGAACAGAAAGAAAGAAGAAAAATAAATTAATTATATCTAGCATTTACCGAGCGCTTACCCTGAGCCGGGCTCTGTTCTGAGTGTTCCACATATGTCCATTCATTTGATCTTCGTAACAAGCCACCAGACAGGAGAATAAATGCACAAAAGCAGCCAAGATAATTTTTAAAAAGAACTTAAAGCCAGGCGTGGTGGCTCACGCCTGTAATCCTAGCACTCTGGGAGGCCGAGGCGAGTGGTTTGCTTGAGGTCAGGAATTCGAAAAAGAACTTAAAAGTGGACTTGCCCTACCAGCTATTAAAACATATTAAAAAGCCATGACCATACAACAGTATGGTCTGAGTATTGGAATAGACAGATCAGGTTACTCTATCTGACATGTCCAATTAATCTAACTTGTCTAGTGGCCATGTTAGACTAATTAATGATGAAATAGACAGATTAGAAGAATATAGAAAGTGACCCTTACATATGAGAATGAAAGGTATGATAAAAATGACATTTCAAACCAGTAGGGAAAAATAATGATTCAGGATTCAGTAAATAATGTTGGGACAGTTACTGTATACATGCTTGGAAGATAAAAATTTCAGATGGATTGTGGACAGACCTAATAGTAAAACATGTTTATGGCCAGGCGTGGTGGCTCATGCCTGTAATCCTAGCACGTTGGGAGATAAGAAGGGAGTATCACTTGACGCCAAGAGTTCAAAACTAGCTTGGGCAATATAGTGAAACCCCATCTCTACAAAAAATTAAAAAATTAGCCGGGCATGGTGGCTTGCACCTGTAGTCCTAGGTACTCGGGAGGCTGAGGCAGGAAGATCACTTGAGCCCAGAAGTTCGAGCCTACAAATGAGCTATGATCCTGCCACTGCACTCCAGCTTGGGTGATGGAGTGAGACCCTGTCTTTAAAAAAAAAAATGCGCTGTATATTTCAAAAGAGCCAAAAGAGAGAATTTTAAATGTTCTAACCACAAAGAAATGATAAGTATCTGAGGCCATGGATATGCTAACTAGCCTGATTGATCACCCCGCAATGTATACATGTACCTAAACATCACACTGTACCCCATGAATGTGTACAACTATGACTTGTCAATTAAAAATAAAATAAAACCAAAATAGATGTTTATAGATGTGAACTAAGTAAAGCTTTCTTAAATAACACTTGGTTGCCAACATAATAACTGTGTGACTGTGAACACATTATTTAACTTTCCAATGTTTTGTGTTTTTTGTTTTTAATCAATAGAAAAGAGATATAATAGAATTATTGTGAAATTTACTCTGACCTTGCAGAATATAAATCTCATTGGTTACATTACACTTTGTGGTTTAGTAGCTGTATCCAATTCTGTATCATCTAGTCCCCTGGGGGTACTGAAATTTTATTTTTCCTGCTGCTATTAGCAACATATTTGAGTCTAATATGCAGAAATTCTTCCCATGTGAACTCCTCTATCTCGGTACCTCTAGAAGTGACAAGAAAATGTTGTTCCTTGACATTTTTGACAGGTTCTTAATCATTGTCCTGACTGCTTGTGAATATATGATTATATATGCTGTACAAAAACAGCAAAAGATCAGTGAATTCTGGATAGTCTTTGATTTTTCTCCGTTGGAGATCAGTTCCCATAAGAAAAAAATGACTGGTTTCATCTATGAATAATTTAGTGGGCCACCGCTGGGCAGACTCCTGTGAAACCTCTCTTTGCCTTCGTGTATTCCCTCTCCATAAGGAGCAAATGCTTTTCCAAGTGGAAGTAAAAACCTTTCAAGGTCTTTTTTTCCCCCCTTTTGAACAGGAATATAAGAACACAAAAGGTGCTTTATTTGCAAAAGTGCCCTATTGGTAGTTTGGCTATTTTTTTCCCTCCCCAGGTGACCAATTCCTTGACAGAATATTACATATGTCTAGGCCAGGCATGGTGGCTCACGCCTGTAATCTCAGCACTTTGGGAGGCCAAGGCAGGAGGATCGCTTGAGGCCAGGAGTTTGAGACCAGCCTGAGCAAAAGTGAGATGCCGTCTCTACAAAAACAGAAAAATCAGCAGGGCATGGTGGCATGCGTCTGCAGTCTCAGCTACCTGGGAGGCTGAGGCAGGAGGATCACCTGAGCCCAGGAGTTGGAGGTTGCAGTGAGCTATGATGATGCCACTGCATTCTAGCCTAGGTGACAGAGCAAAACCTTATCTTAAAAAAAGAAAAACTGTATGTTTATATAGAGACTCTCAGTTGCAAGTGACAGAATTCAGTTTAAACCAGCCGGAGAAAATTCCCGTGGGCATTGGCTTGAGTAGCTGGAAAGTGTAAGGCTGGATGTAGCTGCAGGTGCAGCTGGTGCCCCGCGCTGCTAAGGCCTGAGCTGCATGGAATGGACTCCCCTGGCCCCCGAAAGAGGGAGGGCCTCCTTGCTAGAATAAAGGAAGAAAGTGCTGAGCTGGCAAAAGCCGCAGCTGTCCACAGCAGTGACCGAGGTGATTCCCGGTTCAGCACGTCGCACAGATGGCGCTATGTGGTGTGTGGTGTCCTCCTCCCTGAGGTTAGCGTTGGGATCGAGGGTTGCAACATCACAGCCTTCCTGTCGGGTCGTGCAGCCGACTGCCTGAGGATACCTGCTTAGGTTCCTCGAGTGTGTCTGTAATGAGGCTAGAAGACAAGCTGCCAACTGTTTCCTGTCTTGCCTCATGCTGCTGTTGCGATGGTCACTCTAGGACAATCCATGTTCTGTTTGTACATGTTGCGAGGTTTCATTAGGACAAGATGCTGTACATACATAAACATTGTGAAAGTGAAGGATCATAAGCTCTACCAAGATTCGAATGCAAAGTCTCCTAAGCACGTGAGTTCTGGGTCTCCTATTCCCAGACCCACAGAAATCGCCTGGGGCCTCGTCGCTTGTGGCAGAAGGTCTGAGTGCAAGACTTCTTGGTCCCCGGCCTGTTAGCATTGCCCTTGGCTGGGTCTCCAGTGGGAGGGAGTAGAGGAGGCCTCCCGCCTCTCGGGGGGCCAGAAACCGATTGTTCTTCACTCTGGGCCCATAACTAGGTCTTGGTGGCAAAGCTGCCAAATGCCTGGCCCGCTCCCAGGCTCCTGTGTCCCCTGGTCCCCAGCAAAGTGCAGGAATATCACTGTCCTCCCCAGTTCCCTGTCTGCCTCGGGCGCCTTGCACAGCGTTTTGCTTCAGAATGAAGTCTGTTTATCCTCTCCGCAGCCTTCCATCCCCCCTGCACACTCGTCTCTCCTGCCAGCCATTAGAAGGCTTTGTCCCCTGTGCAGCCACGGGAGAGTGGCTCTTGGTAACCATGGGCAACCGTGAATGGGTACCAGCTATTTGTGCTGTATTTGCAAGGCGCGATGCCGCCGCTAACAGGGTGGATGGGAACTGTGCTTTAAAGATTTGCTTGTGCAGTAAAGTACCATCTTCTTTTTTTTTTTTTTTGGTAGAATGACCAGTCCATGGGCGAGATGCAGATAATAGGAGGAGAGGATCTTTCGACGCTGGCTGGAAAGGTTTGTTAATGTAGCCTTGCTCGGTCTTCACTGATGTCTGGGGACATCTGTGACCTTCATTTCAGGTCAGCACTCGCAAGAGGTTTCAGACACTCTCCCGGGTTTGCTAATTCACGCAAATGGCTGAGCGAATTCTTTTAATGATTTCTCTCCTTTCTGCAACGCTCCCTTTAGAAGGCTTCCAGGACAGGATGCGGAGCAAATCTTTCTCTCCGAGCTTCCTTCCAAGCTTAGTGCAGACAACAAAGCCCCCCAGCCCTCCTCCTTCAGATCCTTTCTACTCCTCCTTTCACGAACCTTCTGGAAAGGAAGCTCTTCCTTCGTTTGTCTGTTTCTTCTCTCATCTGCGCCTCCGCGCCTAGGCCCTTCGCTGCTGCATTTAAACAGGTTCGTCGAAATGTACAAAATCTGGGGAGGGAAGAAAGTAGGCCTTTGTGGGAGCACATTTTTCAGCCCTTTGCCTTTTTTTTTCTTTGTATTAAAAAGAATTTAACCTATTAGATTGTGAGAAGAACACCCCCAGTTTTAACTTGGAGTTCCAAATCTGCCAGTGATTAATGATGAAGTGGAAAGACTGTCTAGATGGATTCTGCCATAAATACAGGAATTGGAAGGAAAGGTTGTTTGCTACAGCAGGTGATCTTTCAGGAATGTGACCTGAAATGCAAGTTTGCTGTGAATAAAAGCAACCCAGAATTTGTTTGGGTTCAGCCATGCTGACCTATCTTGTATCCATTGTCCCTGAGCAGCTTCAGCTTTCTAAGTAAAACGGATCAGTCTAGTACACAGGCTTAATTTCTCATACTTGTAGTCATTATTGTTATGCAATGCCTGTGTAGGGGGAGGAATAACAGCCACATTTAAATAAAAATATGTATGATGATGTTAGGAGCACCGCAGAGCCACAAGGACTCCGACTACAAAACAGGTTACTTCCCCCTCCTTTGAAGACAGCGTACTAGGATCCATGTGTTAAATTGCTCTCTAGCAGTAAATTATGTTCCATAAAAATTGGAATTAACTTGATGTTGATGCATCACGAAGCCACCATTTGATGCTATTACATCAGTGCATAAAGTAACATCCCAGAAAGCTAGAAGAGTCAAAGCAATTTCTAGAAATTCGTAACTTTGAACAACCTTGGAGTGGTCTTTAAATGATAAGTCACTTGCACTTTGTCTAGGACATTGCCCCACGGGTTCATTACACAGAGAAATATCTTACCTTGTGCTTTCACTATGGAGTCTGTCAAAGGGACAACTCCAAGATTCCCAAACAAATGCCAAAAAACATTTGTACATAGAATGGTGGTCTTTCTCCCAAATAAAATCATCTTCCATTCCTGGTTTTTGGTTTTTTGGGTTTTTTTGTTTTTTATGAGTGGGAGATAGGGTCTCACTCTGTTATCCAGGCTAGAGAGCAGTGGCATCATCATAGCTCACTGCAGCCTCAAATCCCTGGGCTCAAGCAATCCTCCTGCCTCAGCCTCCTGAGTAGCTGGGACTACAGGTATGAGCCACCACACCTGGTTAATTTTTCTATTTTTTGTAGAGACAGGGGTCTCATTCTGTTGCCAAGGCTGGCCTCAAATTTCTGGCCTCAACCAATCCTCCCACCTTAGCCTCCCAAAGTGCTAGGCTTACAGGTGTGAGCCACTGCACCTGCCCCCCTTTTGTTTTAAAGCAATTTCCTTCTAGGTGAGCACTGGATATTCCTTCTTTTAGAGCTAGGGAGGAGGTTGAGTAAAGGGTAGCATCTCACTAGGGGTGGAGTGAGCAGAAGGATGACAGCTCTGTGCCTCACTGTCCCCTCCTATAATTACAACTAAGACCCCCTGGGAAAGTAGAGATCTTGGAAGTTCAGGTAGCAGAGATAGAAAACTAGCCAGGAGTCTGCTTTAACTTTTTGTTAGCATGACAGATGATTTCTTCCAAGTTACCAGGTGCCACTTCGTGGTATCCTTACACTCTCTGTGTGTGCACAGATGCGTTTCTGTGTATGTTCAAACGTGTGCCAAGCAGAGCCCCTTTGGCTTAGCACACACTGGATAAATATTTCTAAGATGAGTCAACACCGATCAGCTGGGTTCTCAACTGTCACACCAATTTAAGCTTAAATATTCAGAGTGCCTAGACTCCCATCAGAAGGGAATGCCAGGCCAGGCACAGTAGTTCACACCTATAATCCCAGCAGTTTGGGAGGCTGAGGCAGGAGAATCCGTTATGGCTGGGTGTTCAAGACCAGCCTGGGCAACATAGACCTCTGCCTCTACAAAAAATTTTTTCAAAGTTAGCCGAGTGTGGTGGTGTGTGCCTGTAGTTTCAGTTACTCTGAAGGCTGAGGGGGGACAGTCACTTGAGCCCCGCAGTTTGAGGCTTCTGTTGCTCTCCAGCTGGGCAACAGAGCGAGACCAGGGCAGGTTACACCATAAAGTCATACTTTGAAATGCATCTTGAATCTGTCCACTTTTCTCCATTTCCCTAGCTGTCTCCCTATGACTGTCCCTCAGTCTTAACCTTTGACCCAAAGCGTTATCTGGGTCACAGTTCAGCAAACTTTTTCTAAGAAGGACCAGACAATGGTATTTTAGACATTGTGGGCCACACGGTCTCTGTTGCAGATACTCAGCTCTGCTGTTGTCATGTGAAAGCAGCCATAGGCAATATGGAAACAAATGGACATGGCTGTGTTCCAATAAAACTTTATTTATAAAAATAGACAGCAGGCCAGATTTGGCCAGGGGGCCATAGTGCGCCAATCCTTGGTGTAGGAACCAGCAGATCGGCACCTGGGAGGCTATGAGAAATGCAGATTCCCAGGCCCCACTCCACATCTACTGAAATTCAGTCCTCATTTTAACAAGATGGTTAAAGACAATTCCTATGCATATTAAGGTGTGAGAAGCACTGGTTTTCTAAATGAGGCCACCGCTATCCGTTCTTGGGTCTGCTATGACAGTCTAACTAATCTCCCCGAACATCACCCTTCGCTCCACTTTGGCTCCCCTCCAAACCATTCTCCACGAAGCAGCCACAGGGATCCTCTTCCAGTACCAGCTCTAGCACATCACTTGCCAGCCGAGAACTTGTCAGTGGCCTCTCAGGGTTGTCAGACTCTGCAAAAACAAAAGAAAAAAGCACGTTCAGTTTGAGATTCAGATAAACCCAATGAATTAAATTGTAGTATAAGTATATCCCGTGTGTTTAGTATAAGTATGTCCCAGGTGATATTTGAGACATACGTATTCTAAAAAGTTATTTGTTGTCTGTCTGTCTGAAATTCACATGTAACTGGGTGTCCTGTATCTCTCCAAGGACGCGTCAGCTGGCTGATTTAGTCGAATTCAGAGGAGTAAAGTGCAGAGTGAAGGCGAGACCACTGTCTCTGCAGAGGCAGAAGGTTTCGGTCGCTAGAGACTCAAGAGGGGACTGAGGAAGTGCATGCTGCACAGCTGAGGGTTGGAGGAGTAAAAAAAAAAATTCACTTCACTTTTGGAATTTCCTTTTCCTTAAACAGATAAAGGCCTTCATGTGGCCTGCCCTGTCCACCCATTCTTCAGCCTTTTAGAGAAAGGCTATCTGTTAAGAATTTGAGAGAACTTTAAAAATAAACTGCAGAGGCCCTCTGGGATCTTTTCATCATGCAGAATATACATTCGCTGGAAAAAAAAATTTTTTAAAGGAAAAGACACCCAACAATCGGTAGGCATTTATTTCAAAGGTTGTAGAATAAAGTCTGAAACTGCAGTAAATACCTGCCTTGGATGGAAGGGCTATTCCAGGTCATCGTCTAACTTCTCCCTTCTCATGTACTCATCATACGGTTTGTCCGTCAACCAACAAGTTCACATTTAAGTTACACGCATCACCATGCTATTGGGCTGCCGGGAACGTGCACACACAGTCTCTTCTTTAATGCTCGGCGCCCTGAGAAAAGCTCCAGGGACGATTCACACGAGGCTCTTTCCTTGGGCTTAAGGAAGTCCAAAGAAGGGAGGGGTCCTTGGGACTGTAAGGGTCTTAGCAAGAGGAAGGTTAGCGTTTCCTTGGAACCAGAAAGATGGGGACTAACACAAAAGAGACGCGTGGAGTGTGGGGTGGGGGGTGAATGGGGACAGAATAGGATGGCCGGACACTAGTGAACCAGCGGGACCCAAGGAAACTAGTCCAAAACAAGGAAACGGTAAGAAACAAACTGAAAACGTGCATTGGATTTGGTTTGTAGAGAACATTGAAAGTCTCAGTAAAGAGCTGAACTTGCTCAGAACAGCAAGCGGCAGGCACAGAAGTGGCAGAGCGGTGGTGACATCTTGGAGCTGTGCGTTAGGCATGCGCTGGGACTACAAGAGCAAAGCAGGGCGGAAGAGAAGGACTCTCCCTGTGAAAAGGGGCGAGGACTGCGCTGAATGGAGGAGGGAGGGCTAGAAAGGATTTTTTTTTAATAATTTAAAATTTTTTCTTTTTAAAAATATTTAATTTTACTTTTCTGTTTGTGATGCAACTCAGGACAAGTCTGAAAATAGGAAGGATTTTTTAAATGAAATTTGTTTATGGAAGAACTTTATAAAATGTGTGGAAAGAGCTCACCTGCATCATCTTGCCAAGTTGAGGAAATAGAGACCGCATGAGCCCCATACTGGGTGCTGTGTAACTTCTGGAGCCTTCTGAACACGTGGGAGTTAAAGTAGCTAGAAGAACAGAGACTCTAGACAGCCTTCCATATACAGCTTTCTCGTTTCTCCTCTTTTATGTTTTTGCTCTCTTTTCTTCCTTCTTTCTTTCTGTGAAGAGAAGGAAACTCACGAGGGAGGCTGGCTGAGTCATGGTTCTAAATAGGTCATTGCTGCTGAATAAAGGAAGCCCTCAAGATTAAGTTAAATGGCCTCTTCAGCTCACAGTGTTAAAAGCATTTTACTCGGTGTATTTAAGCTGTCTACACAGCGTGCTCTGCGGCAGCGTTTTTCAATGTTGATTTAATCCTGGCACTTCATAAACTGTGTG